CAGACTCTTAGGTAGGAGGACAGGTGCATGTTACCATGCCCAGCTGTGGGTTGAGAAGGAGGTCTCCAACTAATTTTACTTGGGCTGCCTTCAAACCACAACCAATAGCACCGGGCCTTCTCTTCAATTACTTGAAAGCTTTTTGTGGACATAGTTATTGATTCTTTGCTGTTTAATAAACTCATCAATGAATCTACCTGGGGAGAATTTTTGTAGTAAAGACTTTAAATTAGGAATTAAAACAATCTAAATATATACAAGTCCATTCATGTTTCCTTGTCTTGTGAGCTTCATTTGTGCATTTATGTGCAGTTAAATGTTCAACTTCATGTTTTAAATTTCCTTCCATAAAACTTCTCAGAGCATTTCCTCATTCTTTTAGTATCTGTAAAATGTGTGTTGATTCCCTCAATCTCTGACTTGCAATACTGAGAAAGTCTTTGTTTTTTCAGGCTCAGGGTGGCCAAATGTTGATCCATTTTATTAAATTTTCCAAGAGAGTTTTACTTGCATTTTCTGTTTTATTGATATTTTCCTATGATCCAGTCTTTACACTTCCTAATTTGGATTAACTGGACTTATTTTTATTATATTTACCTGGAAGCTCATTATTGGTTTCAGAAATTTTTGTTTTAAATTTTTATTTTAATTGACAATGAAAATTGTAGATGATGGGTGGATAGATAGAATATCATGTAATTAGGCAATACATTCATTGCATAATTCATGCTCAAATCAGGGCAAGGTAGCAAATCTTTATTGTGTGAAAACATTCAAAACATTGTTTTCAGAAATATGTAATACATGATAGCTTATAGTCACACTACTGTGTAATGAACACCAATCCTTTTCTTCTAACTCACATTCCTCACCTTCCCTCACCCTATTCTTTCCATTCTTGTAACCACAGTTATCCTCTGCATTTCCATTGGATCACCTTGTCCAGATTCCACATGCCAGTGAGATCATGCCACTTATCTTTCTGTGCCTGGTTCATGTCACTTAACCATAATAAATTGGTTTCTGGTCCCATTTATCTTATCACAAATGACGGGAGTCCATTATTTTCATTGGCTGAATAGTATTCCACTGTATGTGTGTGTATATATACCACATATTCTTTGTCCATTCATTGGCTTGTTGACATGTGAGTTCCACTTCTTTGGTAGTGTGACAAATGCTGCAAAAAGCATGGCAGAGCAGATGTCGCTTCAAACTGATTTCATTTTTGTTTTGTTTTGTTTTGGGGGGGTCCAATCATGGGGCCTGAACTCTGGGCCTGGGCGCTGTCCCTCAGCTCTTCAGCTCAAGTCTAGCGCTCTACCACTTGAGCCACAGCGCCACTTCCAGCTTTTTTCTTATGTGGTACTGAGGAATCAAACCCAGGGCCCTCAGGCATGCAAGGCAAGCGCTCTACCACTGAGTCACCTTCCCAGCCCTTCAAACTGATTTCATTTTTTGTGGATATTTCCCCCAACTAAATACTGAATTGGTGTATCATATTGTAGTTCTCTTTTGAATTACTCATAGTGTTTCTCATAATGTCTACCCAAGCTTACATTCCCACCAAGTGTGCTCCCCTTCCTCCACATCTTTGCCAGTATGTGTTACCTTTCATCTTTTTATAGGAGTCATTCTCACTGGTGCAAAGTGATATTTGATTTGATTTGGATTTCCTTATGATGCACCATGCTGAATATTTTTACGTGTTGACTGTTAGTTGTCTTTAGCAAAATGTCTACTTAGGCTGTTGCTTGTTTTCAAACTAGATCTTAGCTTACAGGCAAAGAACTAACAAATTGGAAAAGATTCTGGCATTTATGTTTTCCTTTGACATCTAGATAAGATATACCTGTTCCGTCTAGGAGATACTTGATCAGGCTCAGACCTAACTTTGGCAGGTGATTACAATTTCACCAGCAACTTATCTACTCCTTCCTTCTACTTCAAAGGCATGATCTTTCCTCCTAACTTCCCATTACAGGGTGTTCAAAATTTTTTCAGTTTCAGTATGCATCCCTAGAAATATGTCAATCATGGGTAACACATTTTCCTAACTCTAGAGTGCACACAGTGGTTCTAAGATGAAGATAAATTTCTTTCTTTCTTTTTTTTGGTGTTCCTCATCAATTGGTAAATCTAGCCATAGCCTTAAAGTTTAGTATCCTTTGGAAGACTTTTCAATTGATGATATCAATATGTTAAATAAACACTACTCTTCTAAGAGAAAAATGCTCATATCATGCTCTTTGTCATTATGAAAATATTAAAATGCTTGTATTCTTAATTATAGCCTATCGGCTCAATGCATTTAAGACAGAAGTATCTAGTTGTCTCCAGGCTTGAATTGTATGTGTGTGTGCCTGTGTGTACATATGCCTCCCTCCAACTATTGTAGTTCATAATAGATTTTTTTGTCCTGGCATCAAACAGATTGGTATCTTATTATCATCAGGAAGATTACTCATATTCTCCTGCATATGCTCTTTTTGTCAAGTGAATAAAATCCAGTTCTACACTGTCAAGTTTACCCAGTCCAACTTAACATAAGCAGTCATACTCTTAAAGGTAATATTTTAAAACGTATCTATTTCCTTTCTTGCTTATGCATAAAACAAAGCTGACTCTCTTATGAGACCATGTTTTCCAATCCCTCACTAGGGGAGTCAGTCTTTCATTTCTTCTTAAATAACTGCATTAACAAAATCCTTCAAATTTACCTAAAAATGTCACCAGAAAAACAAGCCTGAAGGGACAGTGGGAAGAAACAAGATTCTCCAAAAGATAGTTATCCTTTCATCCCCAGAACCTGTAAATGGTTCTACCTTTCTGAATAACAAGGATTTTGTAGGCGCACATAATCAAGGATCTACACATACTAAAGTTAGGTGAACGCAATGTAATTTCAAGCGTTCTTATAAGTGACCATCAGAAGACTCAGTATCAGAGTTAGAAATCTACAGGTTTGCTGCCTTTGAAAATGGAGGGATCACAAGCCAGTTCTTTCATAGCATGTCTTTCGATTTCAGTTTCCATGCTTCCTCATGATTTGAAATTCAGATTTCATGTGCCAGCCAGTAAGATAGGGGAGAATAATGAGGTAAAAGATAAATAATGTCAATGTTTCCACTGCTATTAACTTCAAGTGCATCACTAGGGATGGTGTTTGCCTGTTGAGGTATTAGTTGTTTTTTTTTATTTGTAACTGACAAGTAGCTCATGAAGAGTTGCTTTCACCTATGAAGTATAACATCCACTGATGTTTGTAACGTGCTTAGTTTATTCCATCTTTTTCACTGCAGACTGAACATTTGCTTCACTCTATAGGTATAAACAGTTCTTAAGATTTTGAACAAAACTTTATTAAACTACCTTCAGAAATTTACAGATTTACACTCCTTTGGGTACTGTATTAGTCTACCATCTTTCCACATTTACATAATTAATAGTAGGGATGAAAAAAAAGGGTATGTAATTGCTTTTCTTTGCATTTTGTGACTATAGCAGAGTCTCTTCCATGTCTTTTTGTTCATTTCTTATAGCCAATCATTTTTATATACCACACTGCATGTTTTTTTCCTGTCATCTATGTTTATTTACTGTGTATATTATTGCAAATGTAGGAACATGGAACATATTTTCTCAATTTCTTTGCATTTTAATTTTGATGAATATAAGTTTTAAATGTATTTATAGTTCCTTTGTGCTACTGAAACATCTTTCCCAAAGAGAATACTCAACTTGCTTGCCTAGATTACTGAGAGACTCAATTTTACGTATGTATTCCTTTTCATCTTCACAATGTGTTCCTCTAGGCTTCCCAACCAACAAAATGCTTCTATATTTCAATATGTTCTCCCTAAATTCAGGGAATTATAAAGGTAGAATGTAAATCAGTGGGAAAATACATATAAGTTTTAAAGAAATGGATTCCTACCTCTTGTTATTTATAAAAATAAAACTCCACATGGATATATGTACATTAAGGAAACTTCTTTTATAAAGAAAATAGGAATCTCCCACGGCATGACTATACCATGTGCTTGTTCTCTGTTATACTTTTCTTCTAATAAACTTTTCTATCTTTAAAAAAATGAGCTCTATAACTTTAGCCTTCTCAATAAATACAAGGCAGATTATCTGTCCCTGGTCAATTTGATAGTCTTGGACTAGTGAAATGAATATTAGGAAAACTTTCATAATATTATGGTATTTCTAGGCAACTGCCTTCATCTTGAAATACAGAACATATCTACAACAAAAAAAAAATCTTTCCACTGTTCATACAAGTTTTACTTTGGTTATCCTTCCTAGTACTCAAATATACCCCAAAGCAAGATCTTTATGTGGCTAAATTTAAGTAGTAAATACTAGTATAAAATAGATTTGTAAACCTATACGAAAACTAGAACAAATATTAACATATTACATGGAAGCCTAACAGAATACAGTGGAGAAGGTAGCTGTGTTGGGAATTAAGAGAAAATACAAAGTCAAATCCTAAGGAAGGAAGGTCTTTTGTTTCCAACACAAAACAGATGGTGCTCCAAAGGCTCTCAGCGCTCACTTCATTATACACCAACCTGAGCATGTGGTCCGGGTGTCACCGGATGTGATGCTCCGGGAAGCAGAGTCTACATCACCGGATGGAGCACTCCCTGAAGCACGCCGTCCACCGTCACCGGATGTGATGCTCTCCAAAAAGCACGGTCCGGCATCACCGGAAGTGGCGCTCGCCCGAAGCGCGCGGTCCGGCGTCACCGGAAGTGGCGCTCCCCCGAAGCGCGTGGTGGTCCGGCGTCACCGGAAGTGGCGCTCCCCCGAAGCGCGCGGTCCGGCGTCACCGGAAGTGGCGCTCCCCCGAAGCGCGTGGTCCGGCGTCACCGGAAGTGGCGCTCCCCCGAAGCGCGTGGTGGTCCGGCGTCACCGGAAGTGGCGCTCCCCCGAAGCGCGCGGTCCGGCGTCACCGGAAGTGGCGCTCCCCCGAAGCGCGTGGTCCGGCGTCACCGGAAGTGGCGCTCCCCCGAAGCGCGCGTCCCGCGTCACCGGACGTGGTACTCCCGGAAGCACTTGGCGTGGACGCCCTTCTGGCACTTCTCGCAGCGGGTGTTGGTCTGCGAGTGGCAGAGGGCGCACCGCGTCCTCCGGTCCTGGTGGACGATCCAGTGCCCGATCATGTCGAAGCGGCTCTCGGTCTCCAGGCGGCGGCCGCGCCGCGCCGGGGAGGAGGCGTCCGCGTTGCTCTCCAGGTAGACGCAGGCGACGTACCTGCGGAAGGCCAGCAGGTCCACGCGCGCGTCCGGGCAGCAGATGCGGTGCAGCTGCCAGGCGTTGTTGAGGGCCGCGTCGATGACGTACCCGATGAAGCTCGAGTACCACTTCAGGCCCCGGATCTTGACCTTGTACTTGGCGATGTTCTGGTCCATGCGGCTCACGCCGCCCACCTTCTCCTGGTACAGCTTCACCAGGGACGGCTGGCACACGGGCGGGCGCGTCTTGGCCGCCCCGGCGGGCCGGCTGCTCAGCCGCACCGGCTCGATGCCCACGGCGTTGGAGCAGATGTTGACCACGCTGCTGTCGTGCCAGCGGCACACGATGATCTCCTCGCGCTCATCCACCTTGTAATCGAACGAGCCCCTCTTCATTTTCCTCAGTTCCTTGGGATCCTTGAGCGGACACCGCTCGGTTCTGTACTCGCAGACCGTCCCTGTGGCCTTCACCCCCTTCTTCCGCAAAATAGACATCAGTTTGACACTTGTAAAAACCTTGTCAAAAAATATGTGATATGGCAGACAGCCACGCTCCTGAAGGGCGTCCGCAAACTTGATCACCATGCTGCCGCCGAGATCCAAGCCGCTGTCGGGCTTGGTGAACAGCGTGCCCTGGGAGGGCTCAAACCACACCAGGTAGCCTCTGCTGGTGGTCCCACACCAGATCTTATACCCCAGCCGTACGGGCTTCGCTGAGTGCAGCTGCTTGGACCTCCGGTGGCCAAAGTACTCACACATAGACTCACCGAAGCTGTAGAACTCTTCCAAGGGTGCATGCTTCTGGAAATTGCCGTTCATCTGAACGATGAGTGGCCGGACCTTGGCAAACCTGTCACTGTCATCCAGGTCGTTGTTATCTGCAAAGTGCAAGTATGAGAAGATGAGCTCGAATCTGTCCCTTCGAATCGCATCAGCCACGAGACGATGATGGGAGTCAGGAGAGGTCTCCCAAAACATCCTTCTCCTGGGATAGGAGATGTACCCACTTAAGATCAAAATGCCCAGCACACACTTCAACTCCTGGACGCTGAGACCCAGGTTGACATTTTTCTGCCAAGCGTAACGGTTGGTTTCGTTAACGATGAAATTAAGTGTGCCTTCATCAAAAAACAGTTCAAAGAGGCCCACAGGGCTGAGCTCTTGATTTTTGAGATCCTCAATGTGAGGATCTGATGCTGTCCAATTGCTGAAGTCGGGTCGAATATCTCTCTTGGCCCAAAAGCGCTGAGGCTCCCCGGCTGCCTTCCGCCTCCTCTTGGCTGGCTGCAGCTCCAGGTCCTCATTATCCTCCCCAGTGTCGGAGTCCTCGGCCACGACCGAGGCCTGCAGCACTCTGCCGGGCAGCTGAGCACCTCGCGGGCCATCTTCATCACCAGAATCTTCATCGGTGAAGTCCCCTGAAGCGTTGTCAGGCGGTGCGATAAAAATCTCTTCCCTGCTATGGCCTGAGTCTCCATCCTCCAGAGCATTCAGAACCTCCAGCAGCTTGGTGGACTTCACCTTCGAGTGGGCACGTCTCCCAGCAGCCCCTCCCCCTCTGCCAAAACAGGACACAGAGTCAGTGCCAGGCACCTCTGGAGAGCCAAAACTGCGGCAGGAAAAGAGGAATGAATCCTCATTGTAAAGCACTTGCTTGAACCTCTGCACAGATCTGCCTTGACCAAGCAGGTGAACTTCCCAGATAAATACCTATTTATGATTTTAGAGGTAGAAGTATTTTGTTGATGCCAGGCATTGTGTATTTTGCCTCTTGAATACAGTGTTAAGTAATCACTTCTAGTGCTAAGTCCAAGCAGCTCTAGTATTGCCTCAGATAACAAAATGCTCATGAGCAGCCCTGGCTAGCACCCATGGCGCCCACCGCTCTCCCCCTCCACTCAACGGACCTCCAGCTCTGCTCCTGCCATCTATCTCACCAACAGATGTTTCCCTTGCTTCCAGCTTCTCTAATTCCCCTTATGTAAGCTCTTATTTCCCAAGTTTAAAAGCTGACTCTTCCACATGGCTCCCGTGCTGGTATCTCAGGCATACTGACTACAATTCAGAAGAACATTTGGGAAACAGGAAATCTCCTGTCCTTTGTACTCTATGGACACAGGAACCAAATGGACAGTAAAACAAAATCGCTTGTAATGCATATCAGCAATGAGAAGTCCAGAGACTGGCAGAAGAAAAATCCCCTCGCAGCCTACACCGTTTTCATTATAACTGGAAGATACAGATAACACATCAACAAACAAGCAGCTAGACAGGTAGTGACTAGTGCTAATCTGGACCGGAGGCTGAGAATGTCATAAAACAGTGATATTAGATGTTCTGTGTAAGATAAAATGGTAATGGGAGGCTCATGAACTAGAAGGCTTGGAATGAGGAATAAGCACAGCAGGTGGCAGGAGACAGGACATCCCAGGCAGAGGAAACACCACAGGCGCGAGGCTGAAGGCACAGCGAGGACGCAGAGTAGAGCAGAGGCATGTGAGTCCAGCCCCACGGCGCGCAGAGCCCTGGCAGGGCCTCAGATGTGTTCAGCAGTCACAGGAAGCCCCAGGGTGCGGGGGAGGGGGCAGGTGGGTGTGTGAACTCAGGCCAATGAACAGATTCAAACTGTAACATATCACTCACTGCTAGAATGGACTTGTGGAAAAAAGGTGTGGATGACCCTGTTGCTGCCCTACATACCTTCCCAGGCTCAATGACAAGGACAGAGGAAGGACGCAGGATTTACCACTATTTCCACACAGACCTGCCATGGATTCTTGAGTTCACGTTGTATTAGAGTTCACTCCACTACTCCCCTGCCAACCTCTAGCGGTAAGGACGTCACACATCGGATCTCTGTGGGAGTCAAACACCATCCTCCTCCTTGCCATAGTTTTACTCCGTTCACAGGCCTGTCAGGAGACGGCCTCTCCACTCTTACTGCCTAAGCTCTTGCTTACCCCATGACCCAGGGCCAGAGTCCTCAGACACAGCGGAAGCATGAGCGCTCTTCCAGGCAGCTGAGCTCCTCGCTGGCCATCTTCACCACCAGAGTCTTCATCAGTGAAACACATTGTAGGCATGGAAAAGCTAGCAGGTACCCAGGTGGCTCCAGACACAGCTATCTGGTGTCTTAATTTTGAAAACTGGAAAGCTGAGGCATGTTTTACATCAAGTGCACAAGCTGGTGCTACATGCCCACATGCCCACTTTGTACTGTACACTCCCGTCTGCGCATCTCTTCTCCCTCCCCTCCCAACGTCTTTTATCTTTCTGAAGACTTAACTGTGCAGTTAGCAACTTACAAATGCCACTGAGTCAGCATTCCAGAAGCTGCGGAGTATTTCCATAAAGCATTTCATCAAACAATACTCTTACCTTGAGACTGACGCCATGATGAGCTGAGAAGATAAAGTTGTCTTTACTCAGCATCCAAGAATCTGAAAGAAAAATTCAATCTTTAATAATAGAACCTTCTCTACCATTTAAGGAGGCAGCATCTGCTAAAGGCTCGCTGGGGGTGAGCAAGAAGTGTATTGGACATACACAGGAAGTGGTGTCTAGCAAATGGCTACTTAGAGGGAAAAAGAACAGCTCTTCCTCTTACAACTCATGCCGTAATCCATTCTAAATCAGGACGGTTGTCAGAACTATTGCCATCTGCAGCTAGATGAGTCTTCGCTGGAGGTTCAGGGTCAGACCCGAGCATTATGGGATACTTAATATTGTCCTTCCACCCACTCAAGGATAGTCATCCTCTCATTCCCTTAAATTGTTCAAAGTTGCCCTGAACGACGCTGTTCCAGAGTAGTGCTGCTCACAGAATTTTCTGTGATGATGGAAATATTCTGTGTCAGAATTCTCTATATCATGTGGCAGTCCCAAGCCACAAATGGCCTCTGAGCTTTTGAAATATGCCTGGTTTTCAATTTTATATTGTTTAACTTAGTCACTACTGTATTAAGCATTAAATTCTAAATAAAGAATTGTGAAAAAGTAAAAAGTTAAGCTTTCTAAGTATTGATATCCAAAAAGGTAATTTTTCTTGAAGAAAACAGCATTTAAAGATAAAGTTGATAACCTCATCAAATTTCCAAAACATCTGTAGCAGTCATCCTTTAAGATGGCTCCCAAACTTGTCTTGTTATTCCTGCCCCGTGTAATTTCCTTCATCAGGCTGGACCTAGTGACTCTTGGCAAACAGAACATGGCAAAGGAATGGGATATCTCTTCTAAGACAGAAGACTGGGCTCCAATTTGTTGTCTGTCTGTCTCCCCTCTCTCTCTTCTGTTCACTTAGGGAAACCAGCTATGGTGTTCTGAGTTGCCTTAGAGAAAGACCCATGGGTATGGTCCTGTGAAGGGAATGTGAGTGAGGGAGAAGGGGCCTTCAGCCCGCACGGGAACCCACAGGCTGATGAACACAGGAATACTTCCCTTCAAATTGGTCCAGACCCAGATAACGGCTGGACTACAACTGAGACACGCTGAGCCAAGCTCACGGAGAGTGCCCAGGTCCTGAGTTCAAACCCCAGGACTGGCACACACACACACACTTACTGTAACTTATCTAACCAGTGTTTTCTAGGCCAGTGTTTTCTGAGAGCAGCAGCCCCTCCCTGCATACATCCAACCACCTTCCTGGCCAAGACGGAGGATCTCCCTGGCTCCCCGCTGAGAAGCCCTCCCCACCGCGGCTCCACCCCGAGGGCGGGCGGAGCAGCGAGCCAGGAGAAGGCTGATCTCAACGTGAGCGAGCGCCAGGGGGGCGCAGGGCTCTGCGAAGCGTCAGCCCCTCCTGCCAGCCAGGCCTGGCTCTCAGGCTCCTGATGGACGGCGATCCACGACTGGAATACAGCACGGCGCGTGCCGCCCGGCTCTCCCCGCGCGGGGCCTGCGGACGCGGCGGCCGGCCCTGCCCACGGGTAAACCGGGAGGCGGAGGGCTCGGGAACCGCACCGGGGACGCTTCTGCAGTCCATTGTGAAAACACCTCACGATGCAAATGATCTTCGAAATGTAAAAGGCCTCAAAACTAGCCGCGTGCAGAAGAGGGCGGCCGCCTCCCCAGCTCGGTGTCAGAGGAAAAGCTGGCGGGGAGGGGCCGCGGAGCGCGGCCCGCCCCGGCCCCGCCCACGACCGGCCCGAGCCCCGCCCCGGCCCCGCCCAGGAGCCGGGAGGCCCCGCCCCCGCCCCGGCCACGCCCCCGCCCAGGACCCGCCCCGGCCCGCAGCGCCCTCTAGCGTCCGCAGGCATTCGATGCTCCTGGGCCTAGGGTGATCGGAAACCAGTCCGCCCACCGTTCCCGCACGTCAACGCCGTAGCAAAAATGCAACGCCCGGGCCCGCCTCGCTGGCACGAAGGCCAGAACCTTGCCTGCATCACAAACAGGAAGACGCCTACCTGGGCTGGCCAGGCCCGAGCCTCGCAGGCCCGCACCAGGCGCTGTGGACACTGCTGCGAGTCCAGACGGTGCTGGGCACAGCCGTCGCGGCCGCGCAACGTCCGGCACCCGAGCGCACCCGAGCCTCGGCCCGCCTCCAGCTCCGGCCACGCCCCCCGGGCGTGGCCTCACCCGAGACCCGAGAGACCATCGAGACGCAGAGACCTCCGGACGGCCTAGAGGGGCCGCGCCGAGACTTCCGGTCGTCCTTGGACGGTGCCTGTCAAACGTGGCTCGGGCGAAACCGGTGGAAGTGGGAGTCTCGGGCCTCCGGGTTGACCGCGCGCGGATCGGGCCGCCGGGCTCCGTGCCCGCCGCCGGCGCCGCTGGGCGCACGCCCTTCCCATGGTGGCCGGGCGGGTCTCCGCGCGCCGCCGGGCCGCGGCCTTAGCTCTGGCTTTGAGCCTGGGAGCCTAGCGTTCGCGGGGCGGGCTCCTGGCTGTTCAGGGCCGCTCCTGTGTGGTCGTTAGTGGTTACTGTCAGGTGTGCCCAAAACGCTCGGGTCAGAAAAGCACACGGCGTGGCCATCGGTGGGATGCTGGGAGCCAAGAGGGAGGCAGGATGTGAAATTTCAGTGAAACGGACAGTAAACAAGTAAAAGTAACGTCAGCAAGTCGCTGCGGACCGTACCATGAAGAAAGAGCAGGCGGGCCCGGGGCTCACGCCTGTCACCCTAGCTACTCAGGAGGCTGAGACCTGAGGATCGCGGTTCAAAGCCAGCCCGGGCAGCAAAGTCCGTGAGACTCCTATCTCCAATAAACCACCAGAAAACCGGAAGTGGCGCCGTGGCTCAATTGGTACCAGGCCCAGAGTTCAAGCCCCATGACGGACCAAAACAAAGCCAGAACGTAAAATTCAAGAGAGAAAAATACCTGAAGCAGAGAAAATTACATTTGCAAAAGATGTTCATGTCCAAAACGAGCTTTACAACGTCGGTGCGGGGGGGCGGGGGGGGGGGGGAGGAGAAGGATTGGGATTGGTGGGGAGGGGGGAGGCTGGGAAGGGATGTGAAGGGTAAACCAAAGGAGGAGGCTGCAATGCTTGGTAGGAAGTGTGCGCATTATCCTGCCCATGTAATTGTAACCCCTCTGTACAGTATGTTCACAAATAAAATAAAATTAAATTAAAAAAAAAAAAGATGTAAGGCTTGAAAGCTTGCGGCGGAGCGTGGCTGGAGCCAGGGAAACAGGATTCACAGAATTCAGTCAGGAGAGCAGGTGAATTAAAGGTAATGAGCTACATAGGTGGGGGGGGGGGGGGTGCTTGATGCCTGCTTCCAAGACACATTAGAAGAATCCACCTCTCCCCAAAGAGGAAGAACTTCCCCGAGTGGTCCAGCATAAGTCCTGCGGCCCACATAAACAGAGTGCTTCATCTGCATAAGAGACTTGCAGCGATCGGTGTAAACATCCTTGCCACACCTGCCTCTTGCTACAGAAGTAGACTTGACTGTCCTGATTACTTTTCAAGGCAGCTGGCAGATACCTGCCTGTGCGCCCCCTGGTGTTTGCAACATGAATTGCCAAAAAAAATTGCTTCTCTCCAATGGTCTCTTCTTAGGCTTTATCATTCGTGGAAAGACTGAGCTGGTATCAGGAACAGTGGATGGCAGAAGCAACAATAGATGAATACTGGCAGCAAAGCCGGTGGTGAAGACAGCAGGGGCAGAGGCAGCAATCCCTGAAGACATGCAGAGAACAGCCCGGCCGTGAAGAACAGAGGCAGCCAGAGGGAAAATGATGGCAGAAGGGGGGGAAACGTGAAGGGGAGGAAAGAAAAAAAATGGAAATCCAAGGAAAAAAATACTATGAAGAACCAGAGAAAAGAAGCTGCAAGTCTTGGTCCCTAGTTCCAGGAAAATGGCAGCTCTACATGGCCGAAGGTCAGGCTTAAGAGCTGTCAATTTTTCCTGTAGGACTAAGGATCTCAGCCCCTGGGGCTTATTGCAGAGTTGGACAGCAGGGCTGCCTGCTGCTGCTTGCTGTTGCTGAAGCCTAGGATTACAGTACCTACCAATGGATCACGGGTGGCTAACCCAGAATATCAAGCCTCTAAGCTGAGAGTTTATAGCCTTAAGTTTCTGGCTTCTAAATCCTGAAGCAATAGGGTCTGTCTCGAAGAGTCAAGAGCTTAAAAATCTGGGTATCTCCATAGACCTGGACACTCAAGTATCCAGGACTGCCAGGAGAAGGAATGTCTTCTCCTAACCCTCTTATGACCTCAATCTGCATAGAACAAAAGTGTTTCTAGTCACCACCCACTGGGTGATTGACAGTTCTCCATTGGGATCTTCATGATCTAGAGGATTCTTACATGTGTGGGTTTTATTAGAAGTTACTGGATGTGGCAGCGTTCTGTCTGCTTATGCATTTGTGAAAGGTACATGCAGACATTTTCAGTGCATTACTTTGAAACAAATTATATCAGGGATTTAAAATCAAGTCTTTTTCTTTAAGAAAAAAAAAAAACTCAAAATGTGGGTGAAAGGAGAACAAATTGCATGTAATGTGAATAGGAAAAAAATCTACACCAAAATTCTTTGAAAAATGTATATTTTGAAATAGACTGTTTTAAAGAAAAGCTGGAAAATGTATTTAAAATGTATGTGAACAAACTTCATGAAAGCCTTTTAGATTGTTTATGTTGTCTTGGTGCAAGTTATTGACAATTTTTCAAGTGCTTATAAAAATGCAGTTAGAAATATTTAAGGAGAAAGAGGGACTTTGAAAATTAAAATTAGAGATTGAGGTAATCACTTAGTTTACTTCACTGGTCATGTGCATATATGTGTATGTTTCTGTATGTGTGGAGTGAAATCTTACATATGAAAGTTCTACTTAAGCAATAACTACATAGCATAGTTGAGATGCTAGTAAATTATATTCAACTAAAACTCAGGTATCCATTGTTTGATTGTATTAAGGTTATGGCTTAATCATAGTCAACCTGACAATAAAGAATGTCATTTGCATGAGACAACAGTTGTATAAGATCTTCTAATGGGGCTGGGAAGGTGGCTCAGTGGTAGAGCGCTTGCCTTGCATGCCTGAGGCCCTAGGTTCGATTCCTCAGCACCACATAAGCAGAAGGAAAAAAAAAGCCGGAAGTGGCTCTGTGGCTCAAGTGGTAGAGTACTAGCCTTGAGCTGAAGAGCTGAGGGACAGCGCCCAGACCCAGAGTTCAGGCGCCACGACCAGACCCCACCACCACCACCAAAGAAAAGAGCTTCAAATGTAGTTCTCATCCTACAGCCCATAGTGTGTGGCATCCTTGTCTTTAGGTAATAACGCGGTGGAAATATTGTCTCCAGCTTTTGTGTTCTAGTTTTGTGGTACATCAACCAAACCCAGAGCCTTGCACATGCTAGGCAAATGCTCTACCACTAGAGCAAATGCTCTACCACCTTCAACCCCTGCAGCTTCTATGTGGACAATAGGAAGGAAGACAGAACAAATTCAGGAAGACAAAGAGGTGGAGATGTGGCTCCACCATAA